TTTTCTAAAAAAAAAAAAAAAAAAAAAGACTACTCGCAAAAATAGTTTTTAAAGGCTAGACAAGTATATATTTTAAAAATAAAAATATTTTATTGTTAAAAATCATATGTACTTTTCACAAGTGAATTGTTAGTCATTCAGAAATACACATTTGAGTTCTGATAGTTGTATTGATCTGCTAATGGACGGCTTTTACAAGTTATTATTGACATCATACCTGGAAATTTCTGTTTCATAGAATAATGTTACTTGACATGTAGTCCTACCATCTGGCTGTCATGGCATATAACTGGTGAGAAATCATTATGATAAATATATACATGTATTATTTTTTAGCTTTAAGTTTTGAACAGAACATAAAGAAATTATAGTGGGGTTTTTTTCCTTAAAGGGTCGAGTTTTGTTTTTTAAGTTAGTTACCTGTCTTTGGTTATATAGTTTTTTTTTGTCTGAAAGATATTTATGCTGTAAACTTGCTACAAAAAAAGGTTTAAAAAGCACTTTTCCCTTCTGCCTTATAACTTCACACACATTTCCCCAAAGGGTGAGGAATCAGGGTGACCTGCCCATAGCATCACTTCCTCCTGTTTTGGAAGAATGAAACAGCTGAGTCTCATTGCTGAGAATGGCAGCTACTTTATTGTGCCATTGTCACAGAAAGGGAGACCTCTTTCCTGAAGAACTTTGACTTTGAACCTTGATTATGGGCGGCTCTCATTATCAAATGGGTAGTTAAAACTTAATCAGCCAGAGACTACCAGGAGCAAGCCTGTCACCTGATAAAATAAAACCTGTTGCCTTGCACGGCGGGAGGGCACTTCGGAGAAGTGCTATTAGCAAAGCAGGAGGAGCAAGGCATGTTTTGTGATTTGGGCTCCCACTGAAAGATTTTGAAGGTAATCTATGGGAAGGAGAGATCAGTTTTGGATTCATTTTTTTAGTTGGGATTCGAAATAGAAGGAATGAACTAGGAACTGGGTGCTGTCATCAGGTGAAGGTGGCTGAGAAATTGGAATCTATAGTAATAAATGAAAAGAGCAAGCAGCCTGTGGCATTATTGGTCAGTAATCACCCCAATTGTGGTAACTAATGTAGACTGCTACATGGCCTTGGCAGAAAGAATATTTTCTATTAACGTTGCAGCTGGCTTTATCTGTGTGTATTCTCCCAGCCCAAGATTAGTGGCAAGGCTTTTCTTTTCTCCTCTCTTTTTCATCCAAGCCACTGCCATTCTTTCCATTCTAAACAGATTTTAACTCTTTAGGGTCCTGGACTCTACACTCACCTGGTCATTCACCTGGATACAGCGAGGGCAGTAGCATCATCAGACAGAGTGGAAGGCGTTTTAAAAGGTTATTAGTAACCCTAAGTTGGAATTGTTTTTGAAGCCACGTGGCTTGGCCTCAGCTTTTTAGCCCTCACTGTCTCCCTACATTAGATTACCCTACTTCCAAAGTTTCATGGCTTCTCATTGAAAATAGCATTGCATTTGAAGCTCATCTGATTGGATTCTGTTCTACCTTTCCACACCCTTCTCTATCTTTCCGTGTAATGTGCATTTGAGCCACGTTAGATGGACCATTGCATTTTCATGTCTCCATGCTTTTGCTTACACTATCCCTCAACATAGAGGGATCCTTTGTCCTTTCAAAATACTACTGTCACTTGTCTGCTGCAAGAACTTTCCTTCATGAAGGAACTCTTTTTTAATATATATATATATATATATATATATATATATGTATATTATTGATTTTTTTCAGAGAAGAAGAGAGAGGGATAGTTAGAAACATTGATCAGCTGCCTCCTGCACACCTCCTACTGGGGATGTGCCAACAACAAAATACATGACCTTGACCGGAATCGAACCTGGGACCCTTGAGTCCACAGGCTGACACTCTGTCCACTGAGCCAAACTGAATAAGGGCATGAAGGCACTCTTGAATCACCTGCTGATCCCACTAGCTCTTCTTTAGCAACCTCAGAGCACTTTCCTTGTCACTCCGGGTAGCATTGCTTTTGCACTGTCTCCTAAGGGCACAGTGGGTTTTTAGAGTTATCCTTGACATTTAGGGGGGGGGGGGGGGAAAGTAGTTCATTTTACCTGCTCTCCTCATCCTAGGCCAAGTTCTTAACCTAGTGTTCATGACTTCTTTGTGGTCTCTGCAGATATGGGAAGGTGGAACATTTTGTGAACCTTCACATGTAAATATATATGTACATATTTTTATTATTGTGTGTGCGTGTGTGCATGTGTTTGTTTTGTTAAGAAAAGGGTTCACAACCTTCATCACATGCTAAAAGTGATGTGTCACCCACAAGACGCTAAGGACCACTATTATAATATGAGACGGTGGAGGGATGGGCACTCTGCCACTCAAACAGATGGAGGGGATGACTATAAGCAACCAAGAAATCATGAATGTGCATCAAATGTGGGTGTGTAGGGCATGGTACCCAGATGGGCAGGTGGAGAACGCCATCCACCCAAAGCTGCCAAGGGCTGTTAGCTGGTACTAATTAAACTCTGGACTGTACTTACACTCACTTTTGGAAATTGTGGTAAAATCCAGTCCTCCTCAGTCACAGCACAGAGCACAGTAGTTGGCTGAGTTGATCCACATAAATGCCCTTTGTTGAGAAGCTAAGTTGGCAGTGGTAGCAATGCTACTTGCCCTTGTCTATTGTTTCAATTCCCAGATAAACATTAGTTTGATTAATAATTATGTTTCCATCAGGCACAGGCACTGTGAAGTAGACTAGAATTCTGGTGGGAGGAAAAAAGTGTACGACATCTCTCTTCTCTCCATCTCATAGTAAATAGAAGAGCTCCCCAAAAGATTACATGATGCTGTATCTTCCTTCTTCTCTCATTCTGACCAGTTGTCTCCATCTATGACTGGCAATACAATATAGTCATGTTTATCATACATGGTAGAACTAGGGGACTTGACCTTCAGTATAAAGAATTGATAGGGACAGAGCCTTCATTATACTTCTTAACTCCCCATGATTTTCAGGATGTTTTTTCTTGCTACTTCTCTCTTTCCATGCCTTTTGAAGAAAATTCTCTGTGGCACTGATTTGGCTGAAAAGAGACAAATTAACTCATGGGGGTGGGGGGAAGGCATGAAAAATAAGTACACTTTCAACTATCCTGTGCATTCACATGCCTGTCCACTAATTCTCATTTTGGCACCTGTTAAGATCATTGGCCACACATTACTGTTTGTCACAAGGGTTGGCTAATGGAGCCACATTATGCAACTCAGTTACCTGCCCATAGGAGATAAAACTCCATATATTTCCTTTTCCCCTAATGTGACTAGTTATCTGTAGTATTTCTTTATTTTCAAAGAAACATCCTACTACAATGAAAATCAGAGATAATTCTTCCAAAAGCAATTGCCACAGCTTTCCAACTAATTATGCATGAACTGAGCAGGTTATTTCTTAATCTGAAAGGCAATAAAACTTGCCTGTAGCAAAATCAAACCCTGCCACTGAATTCCTATGGGGGTAGGAATTCAATATTCTAGGTTAATAATTCTAAAACTTGAGTGAACATTAGAAACAGTTGGAAGCCTTATTAAAATACTGAGAGCTGGGCTTACACCCAAGTTTCTATGCAGTAGATGTAGGATGGAGCTGGAGAATATGAGACTTTTCACAAGTTCACGGGTGATGTTTATGTTGCTGATGTGGGGACCACACTTTGATAACCACTGACTAGGTCTTTAAGGTCCCAAGGTGTTGGTAATCCATTCAGAAACTAGACCATAACACATTTAAAAATACTGAGTAATACAAAGTAATGTCAGGGCCCAAAATAAGCTACATTGTGTATGATATAAGTGTAGTGAGAGAGAACTCTGGCCTGGCAGGATTGGAGCTAATTCGTAAATTTGGATGATAATTAAGATCATCAGTGTGGAAGATAGAGAGCATTCTGGATGGGTAAATGAACAAAGTCAGTGGTTAGAGCTAGAACTGGAGAGGTAGGTAGAGACCCATTTGTGAAAGGCTTTTGAAGGCATCCCATCCTTGTAAGGAGTTCAGATTTTTATGCAACAGGTTAATATTTCTTCCATTCATGTTATTTCCGCTGGCATGCAGACAAAAAAATATTTAGCTCCGGATTATTGCAAATATTTAACCTTCCCAAAGTACAGTTCAGTTGAGCTGAGGGAGGAGAGGGGAGGTTTTAGTGCACCGTGGGTGTTTGATAAGATACCAATTGGGAGGTGGATTATTTGCTGTTGAATGCATTTATTTTTCCTAGGTTGCAGGATGGGAAAGCCGGCAACTTTTGGATATATCCCGAGATCTTAAGTAAAATTTGTTTGGGTTTCCATTTAAGGCTGCTGACAGCATTAGGAAAAAATTTGGGTGGCTGGGGCAACATTGGCTCTTGTCCCACAGAGGGTCTGCAGGGGGCAAGACCTTGAACTAGAGTCCAGTGCTTTTCTGCCTATAGGTGCACGCGTAGTATTGGCCAAGGAGACTGTGTTCAAATGCAGATGCCCATTCAGCAGGCCTGAGACTGCATGGCTAGGAAGTTCCCGCAGGATGCTGATGCTGCGGGCTGCTTGCACTCTGCAGCAAGAGGTTGCAGGACCTTCAGAGCGCCTTAAAGGGCGAGAGGCCGGTGGAGCAGTCTCTCCCTTCAAAGAATAAAGGGTAAATGCCATCCTTAAAGGAAGGTTCTTTCCTGTCCCCCTGGGCGTGGGGACAGAGCGGAAGGCGGCCTGGGCGGAGCTGGAAAGGCGGCATAGGGGGAGGGCAGGGGCGCCCAGGTGTGTCCAGGTGATGGGAGGTCCGGCCCGCTCGCGGCCTAGGTCCGCGCGCGCGCGCGATCGGCAGTCTTTCGGGCCTCGGCGGCTCCCATCGCGGCCCCCGGGCGAAGCGGGTCGGCGCGGGCCGCAGCTGGCTCCATCGGCGGCGTGGCGGGTGGCGGGCGGCGGGTGCAGGGCGGGGGGTCACTCCACCAGCCCAGCGCTCCGGCTCCCGGAAGCGGAAAAGGAGCGCGGGCTGGGCGGCGGCGGCGCCAGAGGAGGAGGAGGAGCTGGAGGAGCCGCAGGCGCCCGCACGCACCGGCGGCGGCGGCGGCGAGAGGAGAGCAGCCCGCGCCGCGGAGTGTGTGCGGGCGCGGGGTCGCCGCCCCCCGCCTTCCTTCCCCGACCCCCGCGCCTGCTCCGGGCGCCGCCGCCGCCGCCCTCACCTGCGCGCTCTCGCCGCGCCCGCCGGCTCCCGCACCTGCGCCCGCGCCGCGGGGCCGGGGTCCTGGCGCCCCGCTCGCCCGGCCCGGCCCGGCCTTCCCTGGAGCATCTTCAGCCGGAGCGGCGCCCGCCCGCCCGCTGCTCCTCCCAGGAGCTGGGAGGGTTCCTGTTCTAGTCCAGGGGATCGGGGTAGGTGTTTATTATTGTTGTTGTTGATATTTAATGTATTGAAGCTCTGCCCCGAGTTTCTCGCTTGTGAACTACTTGTTTCCCCCCTGGGTACCCGGGATCGCCGGGCTCAGGTGCAGGCGGCCACAGCCTCTCATTCATTTCCAGGTCGCGGGGGTGCCAGGCTGCAGCAGAGGATCAGCAGGAGCAGAGAGAGTTTACTCCAGTATCGACTTCCCCCCCTCCCTCCCCGGGATCCTAGAGTGGTTTGATTTGGAGGAAATGGCTTGTGGATGGCAGCCGTGTGTGCACTTGTTAACCATTCGCTTTAATAGGTCTGGGTTTTAACCGGAGAGTCCATTTAAAGTTGTGGTCGTTCTCAAGCTATATTTGGGTCACGGTGTAGGATCCCTGGTGAGTCGAGTGGAGGATGTGTGTATCTCTAGGGCTGAGAGAACGAGACCGGTTATTAACTTGAAAATATTGCAATATAGTCGCCCATAAAAGTCCAGGAAGGGGAGGGGAAAAAAAAATCAAGGTCATTGTGGGCGGGTCATAATTCATAGTGCAAAGTTAGTCTTAAGTAAAGAGGACTAAGGCTAATTAAGGGTAAGTTAAAAACGTGTCAAATGGATCCTCAGCTTCGTATGCTAGTATGTGTGCTTAAAAAAATTCACTACCTTCCTTGTGATGGTAATAATAATAACAACAATAATAATAATAATGTAGCATGTGCCATCCCGGGAAAATAAAATGCGTTTGATGTAATATCTAGTTAAATTCTTCCAGCTTTTACAGATTTTATTTATTTTAAAGGTAAAACCTAGAGAGGTGCTTTATTTTGCCTTAATTATGTCTTAATGGCAAAAAGACTTCTGAAGATGAGATGATGTGGGACATCAATCAGAAAGAACCGCGTAAGGTTTAGTGTTGTGGAAGGGAAACTAGATTTTAGTCCTAATGCTGTCATGGGTAGGACGGTGACCCACGTTGTTTTCTCATCTCTACAACCAAGAAGTCAGGCCAAATTCTGTAAGGCTCATTCGCTTTTTCATTCTTACTTGGCATATGTGTGTATGTGTGTGTGTTAGTCATTTGAGACCCTTTGACATATTACAGGTACAATTAAAACATTTCCTTGAAGAAATATTGGTAAAATTATATCAAATTTAAAGTTATACATAAAAAATTGTATAATTCCATACTTTTGGAGTAGTGCTCTTCCAGAATTCCTCATTTTGGATGTAAAGCAACAAGATTATATGAGGTCCCTTCAAACGGTTGTGATTTCTGTTAATCTTAACATACCTTCGAAGCTGTCGTTGGAGTAAATGAAATAGAACATATTTTGAATAAAATGGTGATAACTATGACACATTGTCTACCTCTGGATTGTTTAATTCAAGAAAAGAAATTTGAGCATTTTAAAATGCATGCACAGAACCATTAGCCCAACAGGTAGGTTCTAAAACAAGCAGTAATCAGTGAATCATGAAGGTGTTAGTTATTTGCCCACTTCCTGATTTCTTTAATTCATGGGGACTGATTCAGAACTTTCAGAAAAGAGTATAGATAAAACAATGCCGTGTGTTAGTGAAGTGAATTGAAAAGTCTAGTAATGTCTCCATGGAGCTTTTATTCTGGCATTATAATTGAGTGTGAGTCAATAAAATCTTTTTCAGCTTAGATGGCCAGTGGTGGTGGTGTCAGTATTATCAGGCATAACGGGAAAGGCAGAGTAAAGCTTTTTTTTTATTTTTTATTTTTAATATATATTTTATTGATTTTTCACAGAGAGGAAGAGAGAGGGATAGAGAGTTAGAAACATCGATGAGAGAGAATCATCGATCAGCTGCCTCTTGCACAGCCACCACTGGGGACGTGCCCGCAACCAAGGTACATGCCCTTGCCCGGAATCGAACCCAGGACCTTTCAGTCCGCAGGCCGGCTCCATCCACTGAGCCAAACCGATCCTGGCAGAAAAGCTTTTTTTATTACCAGAAAGTTGTTCCCTAAGCTCAGTTTTACTTTTATTTTAAAGAATGAAGACTTTTTATTTAGTAAACTATTAGGGCTTAGATTCAACTTTTCAAATACACTAAATATAAATGGCATTTTATCATATAGTAGAGTAATCAGTACATTAATAACTCTTAAGTTGAAAATGTTTGAACTGCTTTTGAATCAGTAAAAAAATACAGGTGAAACACAAGAGTGGGAAAACACCATTCTTGCTTAGGGTCACAATAGTAACTTTTTGGTTGAAAGTCATTGATAAATTGAGTTAGCCCTTGTTTAAAAAGCCCATCTTCATAGACATGAAGTAGCACTGCTCACATTTTCACAAAGTCTTCCTGGAGAACTCAGTGATTGAATCAGGACCCTTTAATTATGCATTTTTCATTATCTTTGAAAATCGGGTCCTGATTTTCTCCCATGCTTCATTCTATAACTCACCTGTCCTTCTGCTTTTACTGAAAGAGATTTAGTGTACAGGCTTTAGTTCAGTCTCTCTATTTTAGCTCACATCTCTGTTTTTGGTTTTATGCTTGAAGAGACCTCGTGCCAACATGTGGAATGTAACCTCCCTACATGCATGTGGTATGATATTAGCTGAAAGGCTGTATGTACCATCTGAGGTTTTTCATCTCTGATCGGTGGTTCTCAGACTTCAGTGTTAGACAAAGTAGGTAACTGCCGTGTGGTTAAGCTGTCCCGCCATTTTAATGATGGGGAACCAGAATCACTTTTCATTCTGGAGTTTGTAAGACTAGAAGTAGAACTCATCTTTAAGTTTCCCTTCCTCATTTTTGGAGGTGCATATCACTTGTAGTTTCTCATTTAATCAGCACAATTACCCTGGGAGTTAATATTTTTATTACCCTTTTACAGATGGTTAACCGAATTCTGAAAAGAAACTGAAGCTTGGAGAGCTAATAAGAGGCTGTGTCATAATTGGAATGTGGCTCTCTTTAATATTTATAAAAAATTAATTTCCTATTCTATTGAAATAAGTTGAATACCAATGTGGGTTTAAAAAAAAATGAGTACCTCATTGGCTAATTATTAAGGATAGCTATACTTGATCCTTTAAGTAGAATTATTTGACTTGACCAATTTTCAGACTAGATAAAGTCAGAAGTTAAATAGCTTTATAAATTTATGCTTAAAGTTATATAGTTGTAACTTTGTTTCTTTGTTTTTAAATTTTATTTTAAGCTGCAATTATAGGTTTATATTTTATATATATATATTTTTTCTTTTGTCCCTGTGGGTAAACTTTTTTCTTTCTGATATGCCCTATAACTTGTTGGTTGTATTTTTTTAGACCTAGAAATGTTACAAATTTAATTACATTGTATAGTTATGAGAGTTTGGAATATTCTTTGTTGACTCAAAATTTCTTGAATTTTGAATATTCTTTGTTAATTCAAAATTGAAAAATTCTTAAGACTAACATTGCTTTTATACTACGTAGAGGAGATTTGATTCCACAATGGTGGTGATGTTGAACTAGATGAAATGTTTATCTCATTTTGGATACATTGGCTGCAATGTAGCTCTAACAACTGTAAGTAGAAAATAGGATTTTTTTCCTTGATTTTAAGCCCGTGAGTGACTGGGGTTTGACTCATGGATGGCTGACCTGTGCTATTTCCTAATGCTACTGACAGAAACTGGTGTGCTGAGACATTGGGAAGCCACCATGGAGTCATAGTCTTCGCAGCTTTGTGGACCTTGGCCATGTGTCAGGACATTTTGACGTACCACATTTAATTCTGCTTGAGATTTGTTTTTAGAAAAATGAACTCATCCATTTCCCATTAGAGCAACAGCTCCTTTAGGTTCTCATTCCATAGTTTGTCTCTAAGAAACAAAGGTACAGCCCATGAGACCCCTTTCACTTAGCTTAGAAAGTTAGAGTAGAATTAATGACCTTTGACAATCTAGCAGTCATGGACCATAGAAAAATTGGCCCTGGGAGAAAATAGTTCTTTTTTCGTAAGTGTCTAAGAGGAATGGAAATGCAATGATAATGATTTTGATGTATTTTTTATATTCTCAGTATGTAGTAGTTTCTCATTGCTATGATAAGCAGTATGCTTAACAAATTCATCTCGTCCTTTATTTCCTGTCTCAGAGATTGGTACCACCATTCTCTTAATCCCTAAGCCAAAATTGGGGGACCATCCTGGCATGTGCTCTCTGCTTCCACTTGTTCACCATCTCCTATAAGTTTTCCTCACTGAGGTCTTAATTGCCCTTTTCCACATGCCTGCTGTCTTAACTTTTCCTTCCTCTCCCAACCCCTCCCCACTTCTCTTCTAAGTTATGACTTTTGGGTTGTTTACCAGGTGCCCTAACTTCTCCTGTGGGTAACCGGTAAGCCTGTCTTATTTCACGTAGTCAGTCTTGGAGCCTTATCCACCCACTTACACTCATACTTCAAGGTGTTGCTCTTCTTTCCAAAATGCAAGTTCACCAGGGCATTCTTCTAGAAATCCTTTGGTGGTTTCCACTGTGTTCAGTGTGAAATCCAAACTCATTGGCTCGGTTTAGCAGTGTTTTTCACTTTGGGATCATTCTATGCTTGCAAGTCATGAAATAATATCATAGTGCATCACATATAGTAAGGGTAATCATGTCATTAAACTTTTCCAGATTTTATATATATATATATATATATATATATATATATATATATATATACACACCATACATATACTTACCTATCTCACATATTTGTGTGTACTAGTAACATTATGAAATATATTTTTTGGAGTTGTTTGTGGTTAAAAGGATAGGTATGTTTTATCCCATTCTTCCATATGCAATGACTCTTGTCATTTCAGCTTAATTGGGTTTTCTTTGCCTGCCTTTATATCTTTGCTTATTTGTTCCCTAGTTCAGATGAGCCTCCATTCTTCCTTTAGCTAATTCACAGATTTCACTCTCTCCAGAAACCTTTTCCTGATGGCAGTTTACCATGAGAAATACATTTTGTATTATAACCTGGTACACTTGTAAATGTTCATGTAAGTGAAAAAAGTGCCATGAATCAACATCTGCCTATATGAGATGCTCTTTCCCCTGCCCCTCTAGAGGTCTTACCTTGTCTTACCTAGTATTGGTCTTGTCTGGTTATGTTCTTTCTCAACTGAGGATAGGGGCTTCTCTATTATATTTATATCCAGTGCCAAAGCACAGTATATAGTCAGTAGATGTTGATTAAATTAATGGAATATTCAATCAGTATGTGTTATCTAGAACTCTTTACAGTATTATTATTTAAGCTTGAATTGTAGAAACTAACTTTCATGATTGCTTCTCTTAATGGTTTTATTACAGGAGGATAACTTCTTTCCTTACAACATTTTAAACTAAAACTCGCTTCTATTTTAAACTCTTAATTTTATGTTTATCAATTGTGATTACAAAGGCTTAGCCTCACATTATGATAGACATTACATTGCATTTTGTCTCATCAGTGATCTCAGAATCGATTGTCATTTTATGATTTGTGGTCAGGAAGCTTGATGAAGCCCAAATGCTGTACACATAATGCTGATTTGATTTTATGGGAACTGAGTGGTTTCAAAAAAAAAAAAAAAAAGAACTTTCATGTACAATGATAATCAAATGCACATTTTGGGGGGATGGTGTGAGATCTGAAAAAACAGGATCATCTTACTAATTTAAAATTTTGTAATTGGCATTTTCTGATTATTTAGCTGCTTATAATTTTTATGTTTGTGAGAGATAATTATTTGTTAAATCATTAATAGATTATTATGGAGAACTATTATTGAAGAGAGATCCATTTGTTGGCATGTAAAAAAAAAGAATGAATCAAGATAAAACCTCTAAATGCAAGTACCAGAAAAATTACAACACATCACAGTGAATTTGCAAGTGGTAAGTCTGCATTTAATTTTACATGGGAATATGTTTCTGAATTATGTGGCATTGTATCCTTAATGCTTATATTTAGATATTTAATAATTGGTCATTTGCAAAAAAAAAAGTAGTTTTCTTATATTTATTTAAAATTATTCACATTAAATCTTAACTAAACATTTTCTTGGGTAATAAGAAAATGTCTAAGCTTTTCCATAGAGAAAAATAATCTGTTAAGTAATAATAAGTTTCAGAAACATCTTTTAGGATTATAAATCTTATATGGCTTTACACCTGATGCTTCTGCATTGCATTTTTTAAAATATTAATTTTAAAAGCATTTAAGATAAGGGAATTACATAGTGATAAAGAGAAGCTTAATGTAAATATTTTGTTAGTAAGGCTGTAGGCTATCTTTATTTTTCAGTTGGTTGTAAAGAATTTAGAAGTACATATGTTTACTAATAAAGTTAGGAGAACACAAAATACATACATAAAATGTGAAAGCCTTTCTTCTCATTGCTCAGTCCTTCCTCAGCCCAGTAATAACCACTCTTCACAGTTTTGGAGTTGTGCTCTCTTTCACACTTTTTTCTGATCCATATACAGAATTTACTCATACATATACTTTGCTTCTAACAGAATCATGTGGTACACAATTTTTTACAACTTCTTCAACATTTAATTATAAAAAATTTTAACAGGAGAGTTGAAAGAATTACAGTGTAATATCTGAATATCCATCACCTACATTCACAACTAATATTTTACTGAACTTCATCATATACTCATCCACCCCTCTGTCCATCTAGCAATCTATCAATATTTTAATTATTTTGAATCCTGTTCAAAGTAAATTATAGTTATCAGTACACTTTCTACTTTTCTTCCCTCTCTCCCCAATACTTCAGCATACACATTATTATAATAACTAGAGTTCAATGTTGTTTTACAGGGTTTTTTAAAAGGTAAGTTTACATACCATGAAATGCAACACTCTTAAGTGTGTATTTGCTGAATTTTGACAGTTCATGACCTGTTTATCTCAAAGTTATATCAAGATAGAGACCTTTATCAGTGCCACAAAAGTTCTCCATGCCTTTTTCTAGTCTATCTTTTTTCTCTTCTCTCTTCAGGGAACCACTAAGACAGCCCCTCCCTCATAGACTTTGCCTATGTAACTCAACATTATATGAAGTAGAGCTACTCATTTTTCCCCTTTTAAATTTGTAGTGACTTGGAAATAGTTTACACTATGGATATTATAATTTATTTACTCATTCCTCTTCCTCTACACGGACATTTAGGTTGTTCCATACTATTATGATTTTAAAAGTGCTGTATAGAACATTCTTGCACAGACCGATACACTCTAATGAATATTTTTTTACGTATTACTAGAAATAAAACTGCTGGAATAAAGAGTTTGGCATTTACTGCCAAATTGCCCTCCAAATGGTTGAATCAGTTTATGTGCTACCAATGTGTCCTTTTCTCTCTATCCTCTCAACATTGGATGTCATCTGTCCTTCTAAAATTTTCAATACTAAAGATGAAAAATATGCCTAGTTACTTCACACTTTCCTAATCACTAGCGATTTGCCATTGCATTTTTCTTCTGGGATTTGCCTGGCTAAGTATTTATTTTGTATGCTTATTAGTCATATGTTATTATTTTCCAGGGATGCATTGTCCTAACTTCAGTTTTGGTATGTCTTTGGCTTTAGAACTTTTTCCTTTATGTGGTCAAACTTAGCTTATGGGTCTCCTTTGTGAAGGCCTACCTCATTCCAAAATTATAAAACCACTCGCTATTTTGCTCTACTAGTTTTGCTTTATATTTGGAATAGAAGAGAAAGAGAAATCACTGTGAACTGAGGTACCAGGAAAATTTTTATATGGAGAGTGAGATTCAGATTGACCTTGAAGTATGAGTTGAATTTAGAGTAAGCAAAATGGTAACAACATTTCAGATAGGAGAAATGGCAGATGGAGTACATTTTCCATTCATGGAGCAGTAGTAAGACCACTAAAGTGGAGAGTTAGCTAAACCTGTAAGTATAGACAGAGATGTTTGACTGTATTTCTTGTAAATTATGTTGGGTAACTTATTTTTTAAAATCTGAAAAGGCAAAAAAGGAAAGGTAGTTTCTTACCAGGATAGTTTGAACACTAAATATTTATGCAGTCCATTTTATTAGGGTTGAATTATAGTTTCTCGAAAAAAAGTTTGAGCTGTAGTAATTTGCATCACTAATTATGTAGACACAGCACTCAAGTATATTTAGTTACCAGATAGCAATCTTTAAAAATGTTGAAGTACCAGTATGTCCACTAGTTACATCAAAGTTTAGGTATAAGCTCATCATTTAGTATACAAATTAATATGTTGGGATCTTTGGCTAATGAAAGTATTTTACAAACGCCACTGGAGTAGCAGCATTGTCAGTTCGGTTGTTGCTCAGGATGTGTAATAGTTTCTGTTCAGTCATAAGCCACGCCTAGTTGTCATTAACTGAGTGGAGTGATCCTGCACACCTCTGGGTGTAATCTGATTTGGAGCTCTTGGGAGACTACTGTTTTCTTCTCTACAGTCCTGTTGTAAGGGTTATGTGGCACTAATTTTCACTAATCAGGTATTTAAAAAATATTCAACATATTATTTGTTTACTATTTTATTTTTTTATCTTTTGCTCACTTTTCCTTGAGCATGCTTGTTTTTATAGAGTTTGCTACCTATATGTTTACATCCAGGAAAGTTAGATACATTGTAACTATACTTCTCACTATCTAATATTTTCTGTTGTGAGGAATCTCTCTTTTCTAGTGATAAAAAGTTTGTTCTCTGGTAGAGGAGAATAAAAATAAAAGTTAAAAAAATAATGAATATTATATAATTTTGCTACTTGTTTTGCTGGCTTGTTTGCTCTTCTGCTTCTAATATTAATAAATCTGGAAATAAGTTATTAAATTACTCTGTTCTGTATGATTATTGTAATTCATAATTTGTTGTATAGTCCTGAATGGAACTGAAATATTTAAGAGAAGTTACATGAAGTTAATAATATTGAATATGTTGAGAGACAGAGCCTTCTGTCATTTCTTTTAACACTCGATGGTTGGCAAGACTATAAATGTAAACATTATTTTAGTGTTTCTCTTTTTAGCTTTGATAGATAGCTTATCATTTTTATTTGAGCATATTTAGTTTTTAAAATGATAGCTAGTAAGTTAAATAGCATGTTTTATCCTCTCTGACTTTTCACGCTTAAATGATACTATGTATTTTAATTTTCTAATTAAAAGGTATTAAAATTCAACTTTTACTTTTTTAAAGACCTAGGCACTATTCATGTTTTAGATTTTATATATAAAGATTAATTTAGACAGTATATGATTTCATCAGTTGAGTGGTGGTGAATTTGAGTTCCCATCTAATTTTTAGCTGCCCTGATATTTGTAGCTTCTAGGAACTTTTAAAATCAAGTAATTCTTCATCTTTTTTTTTTTCCTTTGTTCTGGTAGCTTTAAAGAACATTGCTAAGGCCTCTAAGAGTTGGTACCTTGAGGCTCTTCAACTGATGATAAATTATTCTAAGAATTAAGTGCCGGTAGTCTGGGATATAAACTGAAAACCTGGGAATCATCCTTTACTTTTTCCCCTATAACCCCTAATATCCAGTCAATTAGTAAAATTACTGGTTTGATTCTAACTATTTTTTTCAATTGATTTCTTCTCCAACTGATCTTTCATCTTCTTCACCAGAGTGTCAATAATTTGTTTTAAAGTATAAATCTCATTATGTTAACTCCCTGTTTCAATAGCTTTCCAATGCTTCAGAATGACATTTATATATATATATATATATATATATATATGTGTGTGTGTATATATATACATATATATGTGTATATATATATATATATATGTATACACACACACACACACACACACACACACACACACACACACACTTATTGGCTTTAGAGAGAGAGGAAGGGAAAAGAGGGAAGGAGAGAGACAGAGACGGAGACATCTATACAAGAGAGAAACATAGATCGGCTGCCTCCTGCATACCCTCTAATGAGGATGTCCAAAACCCGGCCAAGTGCCCTGATCAGCATGACCTTTTGGTGCACGAGATGCTGCTCAACCAACTGAACCACACCTTCCAGGAATGAACGCTTTAATATTTTAACGTGGCATCTTGATGTCCTTCTTGATATAGCACCTTCTCACCCTGACTCTCTTGTCACTGAAAGATTTGTGATTTATGATGGCAATTTGTAATACCTCCTACAACTTTTACCCTTGAATACCTCTTGCTCTTCCTTCTATTGACAGTATTGTCACTCTGCTTTACTTGAATAACTTACTCATCTTTTAATACTGAACTCCGGTTTCACCTGATTTAATTAGTCCTTGTCTTTTGTGCCTCTAGTAACAATTTGTCTGCATCTTTGGAACTTACCATATTATATTAAAACCGTTTTATGACTCTCTTCCCCATTAGACTGTTAATTGCTTTAAGCAAAGGCCATGTCTTATTCATTACTGTGTCTACACAGGTAACTGCTGTACAGTGGAGGCTCAATGAATATTTGTTGAACTGAGTTCAACTCATTGCTGTAATAATAAAGTCTTAGTGAAGCTCCTGAATTAGTGGTTCCTTGATATCATTCAGCTGTGTCATATGCATTTGGGGAACATTTTTAACATTTTGTTGGTTTTTAAGCTTTACTTTGTAAAGAATTATGATTCAATAGATTGGATTAGGGTCTGAGAATAGTATTTTTAAAAATCTCAGTTGATTCTGGTTTGTGAAACATCATAGTAGTATATTAATGTATTATGTCATTGTATTTTATATTATAATTTGTTTAAGCTTATAAGTTACTCTAAAGAATGGATTTTTAAAGTCATTGTCTTTCTTTTTTTTAACATAAGTATAGAAGTATCTTAACATTAAGAGGCTCATTTTTTTAATTAACACTCAACTGAAAAAAGCCTTGATGGTATAAGATTAATTGGTCTTCATTCAACAAATTTAATTATTTTGACAATTGCTTTTCAGTTTTTATTATAATTTTTCAAAATAATTTATAAGCATTTTACTGTGGTTTAAAATTAAACTAAATTGCACAAATCTTAGGTGGACAGCTCAGTGAATTTTTACATATGTATATACCCATGAAACCTACCCAGGTCAAGAGAGAACATTTCTAACCCTCTAACCTTCCCTTATGTTCCTCTCCAGTTAAACACCCTTCCCACCACAACATTACTGCTATTTTGACTTGGATGACCATCAGTTAGTCTTATGAGTAAAACTACTAAAATATTATATGTTATATATATATATATATATATATCTATCTATCTATCTATCTTTTGGTGGATATGTGTACTCATTTCTTTTGGGTTTACACAAGGAATTTCTGGGTTAAGAACAGACTTGTATTTAACTTCAGAAGGTAATGCCAATTTATATTCTATGATAGCAGTTCATAAAGAAAAGCAAGATTAAATTATTTGAAGCGTATGGTGAAATTTGAATATCCTGAAACTTTCTTTTCTAAAGTATTTTGTCAAAAATATACAAAGAGCCGAAACCAGTTTGGCTCAGTGGTAGAGCGTCGGTCTGCAGACTGAAAGGTCCCAGGTTCGATTCTGGTCAAGGGCATGTACATTGGTTGTGGGCACATCCCCGGTGGGGGGTGTGCAAGAGGCAGCTGGTCGATGTTCATCTCTCATCGACGTTTCTAGCTCTCTATCCCTCTCTCCTCCTCTCTGTAAAAAATCAATAAAATATATATTAAAAAAATATATATACAAAGAAAAGTCAACAAGTATTATGTTATAGTTGCCAGTAAGATAATTTTGTTTTAGTCAAATACTTATTTCTATATGCTATTAGGTAACTTTTTTTCTTCTCTCTCTCTCCGTAGGATTGTCTTTCCTGTGGGTTGGCAGGCAGTTGTAGGACTGCAAAATGGGTCTCCGGATTCACTTTGTTGTTGACCCACATGGTTGGTGCTGCATGGGTTTGATTGTCTTTGTCTGGTTATACAATATTGTTATAATTCCCAAAATTGTCCTCTTTCCTCACTATGAAGAAGGACATATTCCAGGCATATTAATAATAAGTAAGTTTCTAGGTCTTTATTTCTTTATATAATTAAAGATTTTCTTCATTGTGAATATTTCTAGAATATAGTGCTACTATATTAATCTTCCTTTTAATATTAGTGCTATTAATACTAAGTTATTTACTGAATTATGGAAATTTTAAAAAATAATGTTCTTTATATACTATTTTGCAGGGTTAGAGAAATAGGTTAGATATCGAACTCTATAAACTATATAAAGATCATTTTATTTTTAAAAAAAGATACAATTGTGTCAATTTGTGTATTTTTAATATTTCTGTTATGTGCTTATTGCAAATGTGTAAAGAGTTTAAGAATGAAGATCGTATACATTAATGAGAATGAAGATTTTTATGATACAGGTGTTCATTATAACACTTTGAACGTCTACATAATTATTTTCTGCTATAGTTCATTGATGATGGATTGCTTATGATTAAATTTGAAATGACGTATTTTACATGTACATGGCATTAACAGTTTCCATATAGATTATGTCATTTTGACCTCACAAGAGCTGTGAGAAATGTAGTTTCTGATATATAAATGATAAAATTGACCAGTGCCATGCAGTCAGCCCTGTAGTTAACACTTGTACTAAATTACCTATTACAGGTGCGGTGCCCTCTCCTCCACCCCATCCTCAAAAAATGCCTATTTTTTTTTTTTTCATTTAAAAGGTTGAATTACGATGAATGAATCTTTTCTCTTACTGTTACTTTACCTAGTTTTTCATTTTAAAAAAGTTCCTAGATTCTTTGTTTTCAAATGAAATATCTTAAAATCTATTGAAAGGAACAATTGAACATTACTAACTCAAAGTAATTTTGAACATAGCCAGTTAAGAATTAATGAAAAGGTTTAATTGTAGGATAGGCTTAAAAATGCTGCTTTAATTTTTTTCAAATTTAGTACATGTACTTAATAGGGAACCCATTCATTTATACCATTGCTTATTGGGAATCTCTATTAGTAAAGAATATGATTTACAACAAGTTTATTGGTTATTATGCAAACTAACATTTAAAAGTGGTGTACTTAAGATAGTCCTCTTGGCAGTATTATTTGATGAACCAAGTGAATTAATCATTTAATTTTTCCATCTTTTGAAAATTATTTATCTGGATAGTATTAATTAAAATATGCAGTTAAACTTTAAATATGCTTGTTCATAAAAATGTTTCTAAGGGTAAGTGACTAATTTTCTTTCTTCTCTTCCCTTTCCCTTTGCCCTTCTGCTACCTTTTACCTCTTCTTTTCCCTTTCTTCCTAGTATTCTATGGCATTGCCATATTTTGTCTGGTGGCCTTAGTAAGGGCCTCAGTAACAGATCCAGGAAGACTCCCTGAGAACCCTAAGATCCCACTTGGAGGTATGGTACTCTTCAGATTTATCAGTTTTACTATTCCAGAATTACTCTTTTTATTAATGTATTTATTGCCTTTAGTATGCATTAGTTATGCATGACATCTATTAAAACTGGCAAGTTTTTGCCGAGACCGGTTTGGCTCAATGGATAGAGCGTCGGCTTGGGGACTGAAGGGACCCGGGTTCGATTCCGGTCAAGGGCATGTACCTTGGCTGCGGGCATATCCCCAGTAGGGGGTGTGCAAGAGGCAGCTGATCGATGACTCTCTCTCATTGATGTTTCTAGCTCTCTATCTCTCTCCCTTCCTCTCTGTACAAAATCAATAAAATAATATATTTAAAAAAAAAAAAAAAAAAAAAAAAAAAAAAAAAAAAAATAAAACTGGCAAGTTTTTTTCTCAGATGTTTCCTTCCTAGAGTTAGTTCTCTGTTTGAAATTGCATATCCCAGCCGCCTCCCATGCCCCCGCCCCTTGCTGCCTCTGTCAGTTTGTGTATTGGTTTGCCTAGATCTGTATGACCTCGGTGAGGGTGAGGATTGTTGTTTCGTTTTCTTCATTTGTTCGGTGCTGTATCCTCAGTGCCTGGAACAGTCTCTGTCACTTAGTAAACACTGGGTAAATATTTGTTGAGTGGTATGTAATTATTTGAGAAATTACATTTTTACTTAATAATAATTTCTTTATGAGAAATTTCATAATTTAAAATATTGGCAACTAGTTAAAATTTTTAAAAAATTGTTTTTAAATGAATACCAAGCAGATTAATATCTGTGGGCCTAATTGAATCATGAAACCACTTTATTACCTTTAGCTATAGACTGTAGCAATGGAGGACACCATCTTGCTGACTATTTGGATATCTGCATTATATCTGGTCCCTTTGACATTAGGCCTATTTTTCTTCACTAAGTTCAGAAGATTTCCTTTTTATCCAATAAAAAAATATGTTAATTTATCATATTTTAATGTTTTTAAAGTCTCTTGGTATCTATCTCATGTCATACAATCTTCAGGGTAATTGTATGAGGTAGGTAGCCTGCGTGATCAGGAGCATAGATTATGCTTTATAGGTCACATGGCAGAATATTACAGAACAGATTTGAGGCACAGATCCTTGTTCCACCAGCTTTTACTATGACTTTAAATACAGATTTAAAAAAATCGTGACCTCCTGGTTCAAAGGTCGATGATCAACCACTGAGCAACGCCGTCTAGGCCCCAGAATTTGATTTTACAAGCTTTTTGGCATGCAGATAAATAGTCATGTGAAATAATTAAATGTATTTTTATATTATTCAAATTATTTACACATGTCTGAAATACAGAAATATTACTTTTGTCACTTTCAAATTTCATGAAATGATTTTATTCAATCTTTTAACTTTTAAAAATAGCTTTATTGAGTATAATTCATATGCAGTATAATTTATCCATTTAAATTATACATTTTAGTGGCTTTTAGTATATTTACAGAGTTATGCAACTGTCGCCAAAGTCAGTCTTAGAACATTTCATCACCAAGCTCTTTCTTAACTAGTAATTTTGACTTTAGTGGGTTTTTTTTGTCATCATTAGAGCTACTTTTTGACATATGGTTAGAGAACAAAATCTTCTAGTTTTAAAAAATATATCATGTTTTAAATTTGTCTAATATTGTTCCTTGAAATTTAACTCACGCTGTTAATGCTGAGGGTCATGTATTCACTCATAGTTTTGCCTTTTTCCTCCCTCCTATATTGTCTTATTTTTTAAATTTTATTTATTTGTTTTCAAAATATATTTTATTGATTTTTATAGAGAGGAAGAGAGAGGGATAGAGAATCAGAAACGTCAATGAGAGAGAATCATCGACCAGAAGCCTCTTGCACCACCCCCACTGGGGATGTGCCCGCAACCCAGGTGCATGCCCTTGACCGGAATCGAACCTGGGACCTTTCAGTCCGCAGACCGACGCTCTACCACTGAGCCAAACTGGTTTCGGCTAGGAATTACTTTTCCTACCACTATGATTTATCAAAAATGTTCTCTTACAAATAATCAAAAAACAAAAAGTGATGCCGTTTACTTATATTAAAATCCTCAGTCATTTGTGGAATTTGTCTTTTTTTCTCTGATTAGATTTAGGATTTGATTTTTCATTTTAAAAAATATATTTATGTGTTTTTAATTTATTTATAGTTATTATAAATTATCAATTGGATTTTCTCTCCCAAAGGTTTTTATTTTATATTTTAAGATGGCTGGTACAATAGTATTGTAGGTAGTTATCAGACATCAGAATATATTAGTCACCAAGGTCCTATTTGCACATGCATACACCTGAAGAAGGAAAGGGAGAAGACCAAGACATGATTTACAGATATGTATAATAGGTTGAAACTATTCTAATAACCTCCTAAACTTATCTGAAAATCTTTTCCAAATCCCCCCCATAAACTTTCCCCAGTGAACTTGTTAATATGAGAAATAAAATGATTTGAGGGTTAGGAATGCAACCTATTTCTCTAATGAGATTATAGGATTATTAATCCATGAAATCAGAATGCACCATTATTCCTTTTTTAGAGCCTTTAGATAACAAAATTTCTAGAAATTTGTTTGAATAAAATTTTGTTTTAATATAATAATTTGGTTATATTTTAGGGTTTTGTCATTGAATTTTATTTATAGCAGTATGTCCCAAACCCAAATACATTGTTTTCTATCCCTTAGTTTGACTCATAATAGTGTCTTATTTTTTTTATAGTATTGAAAATTATAAACATACAAAATCAGACATACATAGAACAGAGCAACAACATTTATGTGAAACACTGGAGACTAGAGGAAAAATTTCTTAGACATATATATTGAAGACTTTCTATAAAATCTCTAAACAGTTGTTGCTAAATTGCAACATTACTCATTTACCTTCATTAAACAGATTTTAATTTCTTTCCCTAGAAAGGGAGTTCTGGGAATTATGTAACAAGTGTAATTTGATGAGACCAAAGCGTTCCCACCACTGCAGCCGCTGCGGCCACTGTGTGAGGAGAATGGATCATCACTGTCCATGGTAAGAAATGAATAACTCACTGTTAGAAAAAACGAGTGAAACTAAATTGTAGTACTTAGCAGGTTAAACAAAAGTTACATGAAATTGATGTAGTTTAAAAACACCTTTTAATAAGCATACATTTTTTATATGGTTTTATGAATTCCGAAAATCATTTCCCCCCCCCACAGAGTTCCTATCTTTTCTAACAAGGAAATATTCTAGTAGAAAGCTAAGAATTAACATGCAGCCACATATGCAAAGGACTGTGGTGGTTATATTAAATGATGCATGTATGTAAAACATTTTGTACAGTGTCTGAGACTTAGAACGTATTTAAACAGTAGCTTTTATTGTTTCTAACTGTAATAAACCGTATACATCCCATTGTTTATATTTCCCTTTCCATTTGTTTAAAGAATAATACATTTCAGGTACCCTAACCTCATTCCTCTCCCTTTAAGCCTTTTTCAGTATTAAATGTTTTAGGTATTAAGATTACATACATGCTAGATGTGTGTGAGTGTAAATCAGCCGATTCTGCTTAATAACCAACGTTTTTGGTCAATAGGGGGCTCTCTTGTAATATTTAAAGAAAATGTTTACTTGAAAAATCGATTTTTTTAAAAAACAAATGCTGTGAGAATTCTGCATTGTATCTCATTTCAAAGCTGTCACAAGAATCTGTGAACAAGATATTGTATTTAAATGTTTTTCTAGCATGGGATAGCTGTATAAATATTTAAACTGCTATAGTATAGCATTCTATAAACATATCTGTATATATCTATGTTTATGTTTGTACATACATGCATACATATATACAGAGTTAAGTGTTTAGCAGGCTTGTTAAATTTATAACTGCTTATATCTAAAGCTGACTCGAGGGAAGAGTTTAGCTTTGTCTAGTAATGCTAATCAACTAAGAGTTTCCATTATTTTTTTGTAACTTATTTTGATAGCACAAGTTATTAGCAAGGTTTTAGTAGAAATGTGTGTTTTACTATAAAATGGTTATTTAAATAGATAAAAAGCACTTTTAGATAAAAGCACTTTGTTACTATATATATTTCATCAATAAGATAGTATAGTTTATAACACAGTTAGTCTTTAAAAATGTGCCTAGAATTTATACAGGTTAATCCTCAAGAGTTTTCTACAATTCAGTGATCTTTTCTAATTATAATAGTAATAGATAATAAAAACTAGGTAACCTGGTAAGTTGTAATCACACTGAAAAACTCAACTTTATATACTTTTTAGAGCAATATTTTTGATTAACTAAAACTATAAATGTTCATATATGGTTAGATATTGATACTTCCATTTAAAATAATGCAATAGTTTAAGCTTAAAAACATAAACAGTGAGTAAGGAAATATTTTGGTACTATAGTGATTAGTGATATTTTTATTTTTATTTTTAAAAATAAAGATTAACTCAGTGACAAAATACAATAAAGTGCTATTTGGCTAAACTTTAGCCTAAACTCGAAGATTGTGGTGAGTTCTCTATTTTTATGCCTCTTGCTTCCAATTTAGTCAACTTCTCAAAATATTGGGAAGAAGAATGGAAGTAGAAAGAGTTGGAGGACAGGAAAAGAGGGTAGACCAGGGGCTTGAATAAATTTAAGGGTTTTCATGAGTTAATTTCCTAATAGAATGTTGTTGAGATACCCAGAGTGAGGGAAACTATACAATGTAAATTGGAAGCAAAGAAAATTTTTGTCATTTTCATAAATGGCGTTGTTCTAACTGCCTAAAGCTTCAGATTTGGAGGACAATTCTCAGGTCACCATAAGATTTTTCTCTGATCTGAATCTGATCACTTTTTCTATGTAGTATAATTGTTACCAAGAGAACTCTTACATATATAAACTAAGAACCTTAGTGCTCCTTAAAGCTCTCTGGTTAAGAAAAATGCCAGTATCAGCAGTTGTTCTCAAATTTAGGGTGACAGGGAGACAGGACAAGGATAAGTCATCTTTCAAGCAGTCTCTATTGAAGAGTACATACATAAACATTTGATAGTCCTGCTGATGAGTAACAAAACACAGGACATTTTCTTAATAACCAAGAATGAGCTCTTAAGTCTAAGGAATGCCTCTGTATAGTTTTCCATTTAGTTCTATATCTGATTTTAAAAAATACTTTAATAGCACACTTTTAAAACACCAATTTAAATTAGGAATTGAACCTATTATATAGTTTTTTAAAAACAGTGCCAGTGCCCTGGCTGGTTTGGCTCAGTGCATAGAGCATTGGTCTAAGGACTGAAGGGTCCCAGGTTCGATTCCTGTCAAGGGCACATGCTTGGGTTTCGGGCTCACTCTCCAGTAGGGGGTGTGTAGGAGGCAGCCAATCAATGATTCTCATCATTGATGTTTCTATCTTTTCCTCTCCCTTCCTCTCTCCAAAATCATTAAAAATATTTACCCCCCAAAAACACACTCACACACACACACACACACACACACAAAAAAAAAAAAAAACAAAAACAAAACAAAAACAAAAACACACACACACAAAAACACACACACACACACACAAAAAAAAAAACCCCACACAGAATAGTACCAGTGTAATACATTGAAATAAAAACATTTGTACATGGTAACTTATAGTTCTGAACTAGGGTTTTCTCCTGGAATTGTAAAATATTTTTAAAATTTGGGCACAATAAATTCTGGTACAATAAAACATTAGCTTGAATTAGCTTTGAAATTTTGGGGATTATGACATTAAATAGTTTTTCATAGTTATGGTTCACTATTGTATTGCTGGAAGTGTAGCTCTAAGAATCTGTAAGTAGTTTTGGATATATGTCTATTTTTAACAATCAAGGATTGCTTTGAAAAGTAAGAAGAATTGTGAATGCTTAATAGTTATGTCAGAGTGGCAGGATTAAGTTATTTTACTTCACATCATTCAAATTGCTCTCGAAGCTAGACTGTCTCACAGAAGAGCACTGTGTAGGAGGAGGTTCTTTTCTCTTCATCACTAACTGTACTTGCTTTGGCAAGTGTCTTAAGTTCTAACTGTACATCTCTGGCGAGTTTAACGCCTTCATTCCTGTTCTCACATCTGCTCTTCCTGCCTCACAGGGTGGTTGTGAGTTAAAGAAGGATCACATATATGGATTTCCTTAGTAAAATACAAAGTGCTTTACAGATGTTATATATTTTCCTATGTACTGTTTGCTTTTAGGTTTGAGTGATGTTAGCCTGTCTCCATGAAGTTACCCATATAAGAAGTTTTTTGTGTTTATTTTTACCAATTCTGAAATTAACATCTTATTAAAGTTTAATTTCTTTTTATTTTTTTTCTTCAGGATTAACAATTGTGTTGGTGAAGATAATCATTGGCTTTTTCTGCAATTGTGTTTCTACACTGAACTTCTTACTTGCTATGCACTGATGTTTTCTTTCTGCCACTATTATTACTTTCTTCCACTAAAAAAGCGTAACTTGGTAAGAAATGTTTATATTCACTAATGTTAGAGCAGTTATAGCATACACTTATCAATATGCTTCCTTTATGTTCAAAAGATTGAAAACAAAAGCAATAAAATTAAACCCCAAATTAATGGATTTTAAGATAGATTGGGATTGAGAAAGTAGACCCGAATTGGACATCACCTTTTAACCAAATCTATTTGTGATTATTAGTGTTGGATGACTTTCTTTAAAAAGCAATTAATAGATCTTTTAATATACTGTATATGTTTTGGTTTAAAATACCTACAATAATGAGAAACAAAGTGAAAAATGTTAATTACTTATTTCTTTTCAAAAATAAAAATAGACATTAATTTTTTTTCAAAAGAATTTTAAATTATTGGGGGGGAAACGTTTCCCCTTAACTTTTTCCCCCCATTTTTTAAATTGAGGTATTATATGTGGATATAGCTTACCAATTGAACAATATATAATATAATAATAGAATTTGTAGGATGCATCAAAAAGTTGTTATAGATATCATTTGAGGAAAGGCAGTACTTTTCTTGCTTTGTAGAGGAAAATACAACATATGTTAACAGTACTTGCCCAAAATAGTGATGGTAGTGGTTGTATTGGCAATAGCAGCAACTGGGAGTTTTAAGTCTTTGACTATATATCAACACTATGCTATGGCTTGTCATTTTAGTTCTCACTCTAATACTCATAACCACTACTTGAGGTGAGTATAGTTTTGTCCACTTTCATAGATGAGGAAGTAGACTAACAGACTTTTAATTAGTAGTTGTTAAAGGCACAAAGCTAAGAAGGGATTATGCAACTAGTTTTAGTTAGAGAGCTGGGATTTGAACCTGATCTTGTGTTTTCTGAATCTTACTTTGTGTGCTTTCTTATAGAGCTGGTTTTTAAGTCTCAGATTGTATGTCATTTAGACTTAGATTGTGGCATGTGAGGAAGAAAGGAGAGGAGAGAGGGGAGAAAGAAAAATCTTGATAGGAAATTTTTCTTTATATTTAAATCTTTTATATTAAAACTATCAAGTTCAGTGGTGGTTCACATAATTAAATTTTGGAATAAAGGAGAGAAGGTCTTTAATTACATAAAATAATGTATATATTTATATTTCTTGTATACATTATTTTATATAATTATAAGGACATTTGTTACTGTTTCTGGGCTGAGATTATGCTTATTAAATATATATATATAGATAGATAGATAGATAGATAGCTTGAGCAATTGAAATTCTATACAAGTAAGTGAAAAAAGTTCAGTAAAGGAACTTTAAATATTGATATTTTCACACTAAGTATTTTGTATATGCCATTACTATATGTAGTTTTAAGAATATTTCGCCTTATTTGTAGAATAATTTCTGATATGATTGGTATTGTATTTAGACTTTGTAAAAGGTTGTGCATAGTTCCTAATAATAACATGTTTTAAATAATTGAGCCGAATAAGGAAAGCATTAAAATAAAATTGCCCAGTAAGATTAAAGTCATAACTTTTTTTTAACAGCAAGAGAGAAAATTTATTGCTGTTAATGAAAAGCTAATATAAATTCTCTAGGAGGGAATGTATTGTATTATCTTGAAGGAATTGGCAAACTATGGGCCTTGGGTTAAATTAGACCTTCCACCTATTTTTTAAAATCATTACTTATTTTATTTCTTTTAGAGAGAAAGGGAGGAAGAAGGGAGAGAAAGAGAGAGGACGATAGGTATGAGTGGAGAGAGTGGGAAATATTGATCAGTTGCCTCCTACATGAACCACAACCAGAGTTAAACCCACAGCCTGGTATGTGCCCTTATGTGGAATCAACCCATGACCTTTGATATAGCACACAATGATCCAGCCGCTGAGCCCACACTGGCCAGGGCAACTATCTGGATCTTTATACTGATTTTGCCAACCTCTTGTACAGGAATGATCTTGGCTTTATAAACAGATATACCTAGGATCAATGCCTGGCATTTCTTCTTATATGTGTAACCGTTGATACATCGTTTAATCTTTTTGAAATTGTAATGTTTTTTTTCTTCCCCCTGAAAAATGTAAATAATTATGAAATTAAATAAGATAACACGTGTATAAAAGAACCTTGTACAATATATAATATGCATTTAATTTATGTTACATTTGATTTTTGTGAAAACTCTCAGATGGAAGGGACAGTTTATTTTTAGACTGTTTGAAACATTGCTGGGATATTTAACACAGACCAAAGAAATTCCAATGCCAAATAAGAATAGAGTGGTAATATTCAATTGAAGGATTAGACATTTGAAATTATAAAAATATAATTTTCTCTCCAAATTAAAGGTAGAAACTCTGGAAAAATTATTACTACCAATTGACATTTTTTAATGGAAAAATTGATCATAGGTGATAATATTTGAGTACTTCAAAATATATTTACCTTATTTTAGATGTTAATCAAAGACTAGCAGCATAGTAAAAGTTTATTAAGAGATTAAAAATCGAGGAGGAAAATATAAAAATTAGTATAAGTTGGGTTTTGAAAATTCAAATCAGATTTTTTTTAAAGCAGTCAGTTATAGAAGCAATACAGGTGATTTTTAATTTCAAGAAATCATAAGAATGTTAACCAATAGGTTTGTCAAATAGAAATCAAATAATTAGCTAGCTCATGTTGGCTGTAAGTAAGCATCTTAAATAATAAACAATAAATTATAAATAGTTCTAGATACTTGACAGAAATAGTAGCGTTGAGAAGGAATTGTTCTCTAGACTAATTATCTTTATTGTATTAAATAGGATGCTTTCATTTACCTTCATATTAGACATAATGAAATTGAAACCCAAAGGGGTTATGTTATGTCATTCTCAAAGTCATATTGAAGAAAAACATCTAGTGTGTTTTAACCTTGTTTATTATATATTCTCTGAATCATGAAGTGATTCATATATTATCAAGTTAGATATATGGAGAACTTTACCATATGTTGCCCAGTATAAGCAAATACAATTTTATTGTACTAAGTTAAATTCATAAGAACAGAATGTTTATTATTGTTGTTTCTAAAGTACTCTAGTTTACTAGAGCAAAGGTAAATTAATTAATTTGGTGAGACCACTTGAGTTCTACTCTCTTAGTCAATTTTAATTATACAATACAGTGTTATGAACTATGGTCCCATGTTTTACATTAGATCCTCAGACCTTACTTATCTTATAGTTAAAGTTTGTACTACCCTTTTAATAACCTCTCCCTATTCTCTGCTGCCCCAGCCCCTGGCGGCCATTTTACTTCCTGTTCCTATGAGTTTGAACTTTTAAAGAAAAGTTTTTTAATTCCACATTTAAGTGATGCCATGAAATATTTGTCTTTGTCTGGCAAATTTCACTTAGCATATAAAATGTCATCAGGTGCATCCATATATGACAAATGTTCTTATTGCTGAATAACACTCCATTGCATTTATATTCCACATCTTCCTTATGTATTCATCTGTTGAACACCTAGGTTGCTTCCATAGTCTGGCTATTTTGATTAATGTTACAGTGAACAGGGGAGTGTAGATATCTCTTTGATATCCTTTGTGTGTGTGTGTGTGTGTGTGTGTGTGTGTGTGTGTGTATCCAGAAGTGGAATTGCTGGATTATGTGGTGGTTCTATGTGTAATTTTTTTGAGGAGTCCCCATACTGTCTTCCATAGTGGCTGCATCAATTTACTTTCCCACCACAGAGTTTTATCATAAATGGATGTTGAATTTCATTAAGTGCTATTTTTGCATCTGTTGAGGTGATTATATGATTTTGTCTTCCTTTTTGTTAATGTTGTAAATCACATTGGTTTGCAGATGTTGAAGCATCTTTGGAATTAAATCCCAGTTGACCATGGTGTATGATTCTTTTAATGTATTGTGGAATTATATTTTTTAGATTTTGGCCTTTCTGTTCATCAGGAATGTTGGCTCTATTTTCTTTTCTTCTGTTATGTAGGCTTGGTATTAGGTAAATACTGGCCTTCCAATATGATTATAGATGTATTCCCTCTTTAATTTTTTTGAAACGTTTGATGAGGATTGGTGTTAATTCTTCTTTAAATGTTTGGTAGAATCGACCCATAAAGCCATCTGCTCCTATACTTTTCTTTTTGGGGAGGTTTTTGATAATTGATTCAGTCTCCTTACTTAGTAATTGTTCTGTTTAACTTTGTTGTTTATGATTTGGTCTTGATGGCTTTTATGTTTCTAGGAACTTATTCATTTCTTCTGTCCAACTATTGGTATATAATTTTCATGGTAGTCTTTTATGATCCTTTGTATTTGTATAGTATCATTTGTAATGTCTCCTTTTTATTTTTTTACTTTGTTTATTTGAGTTCTCTTTTTTATGAGTGGGTGTAGGTAAATGTTTGTCTATTTTGTTTCATCTTTTCAAATAAAAAAAAAAAACCCTGCTTTTATTTCCCTTTATTTTATTCTTATCTTTTAAGTCTCTATTTTTTAAAAATATTTTTTTATTGATTTTTTACAGAGAGGAAGAGAGAGGGATAGAGAATTAGGAATATCAATCAGCTACCTCCTGCACACCTCCTACTGGGGAATGTGTCCACATCCAAATGCATAAACTTGACCGAAATCGAACCTGGGACCTTTCAGTCCGCAGGCCGACACTCTTATCCATTGAGCAAAACCGGTTAGGGCTAAGTCTCTATTTTATTTACTTCTGCTCTTTGTCATTTCTTCCTAACTTCTTTTGGCTTGGTTCTTTTTTTTTTTTTTTTTTTTTTAATTTACTCCTTTTTTTTTTTTTTTTTTTTTTTTTTTTTTTTTGATAAGCAATAGGAGAAAATTCATCTTGATTCAGCCAAGATATATATATAACATTTCTAAAGCTAAATAACAGAGCATTGGTCTTAACCCAGCAGTTCTTTTGATGATGACATTTATTAAATTTATTGAGATTTTGTAAGGAATTATGATTATTGGTTTTTGTTTTCATGAAAGACTAGTTTCAGTTTGTCTTTTCTCTTATACTA